GCCGTACAACAACTCGTCATCGTCCTCATCCTCCTCCCCTGCATCAACCTGCGCGTTGATCAAAGACACCCTCCCATCGAAAAACGCACTCTTCCCTCGACCGCCACGTGTCAAATCCTCACGATGCTGACGTGGCAGCTCCAGATGCTCCCCCTCGCCGTTCTCCACGCTCACCTCTACATCACCGCCCGCGTAAAGCTCTCCAAATTCATCGTCATCATCCATCTTGCTGACACGTCACTTAGACAATCAATCGATCAATCAATCAATCGATCAATCAACCAATGGATCAGTCAATCGACCGGTTAATCAGGGGATCAACAAATCACGCCACAGAACCGCAGATGGAAGACACTCTCTCCTTCGATGCTCCTTCGCGCCAGCCACCCTCTCCTCCTTTCCTCCTTCCTTCCTTCCTTTGGCCGAGCCAACGCCACGTGTCGCTCTCTGATTGATTTGCTCTAATTGATTGGATCGGGAGAAGAGCGCCGCCGCCACGTGTCGCCCTCCCGTACAACTGATAACAACAACCCCCTACTGATTAATACACCAAGCACCGCTGCGCCAAAACCCTCCCTCCCCCTGTCGCGTCACAGAACAGACACTTACACCTACCTACCGTACAATTCGGCCTACACACTCTCCCGGCCGCCTAATTAACCGCCTGTTATTTGATTGATCGCCCCAGCATCCCCTTTAAAATCGGGTTCTCCACGTAATGGATTAGTGACCCATGCATGCAGGATACCGATTGATTGAATCAATAGATGCTATCCTGATTGAGATTGCATACCTACACGTCAGCATCAGCACATCGTTTAACTCAACATCCCTCTTTATGATTGCCTCTACCTCATACATCTATCCGTCTATCCATCTATCCATCCATATATCTATATATTGTGACGATATATAGATAGATAGATAGATTAAAAATATATCTGTCTGTCTCCAGCGGCGAGCATCCAACCGGACAGAAAAAGCTTCCACGTATTTGTACTACAACTACCGCATGGTAGGTATCACGTTGGCAGTTAAGATCGCTTCACGGATGGGCTGGTAATCATGACGTTCCAGATTGGCGCGCAGTGCGAATCCTGCCGCCACCACCCACGTGTCCATCATCCTCCCCAACACACATCGCATATCGGCCGCCCTTTCGTATTCGCTCTCCCAATCCTGCCGCTCCCGTTCCTGCGACTGTCATTCCTTGATTGGTTCTTGATTAGTTCTTGATTGAATGACGGCCAACTGATCGATTGATTTCCTGAAAGATCGCTTGGCAAATTGATCAAAGCGCTGAAGGGATGACTGATCGGTTATGATTCCGATCTCGCTCTCGCTCTCGCTCTCTCTCTCTCTCTCTCTCTCTCTCTCTCTCTCTCTGTGTGTGTGTGTGTGTGTGTGTGTGTGTGTGTGTGTGTGTGTGTGTGTAGAGAGAGCAGACATCAATCGTCTCCTCCAGTCTCAGTTAAACACGTGCAATCCTCATTCACAAGATATGATGTCCACTGCACACTGTGAATGAGACACGTGTTCAATAGGTACACCACCCCATAGACTGGCTCTACTCCATTCAGCTTCCAGCACAAGTTACTGCGCGCCAAGCCGCGAAAGTAGATGAATCTTAGTCCCCGCCACACAGAATTTCGATTCCCGCCACAGCGTCTGCAGGAAAAAACATCACGTCCAACACTTCCTATTCCAAAACAGGAAAGTTCCCTTCCCGCCAATCGAAGACTGTCGGCCAACACCTACAAAGTAGGGCCTGCCAAAGAGGGGAGCTGCCGCCCCGCGAAAGTGGTTCCCGCCCCGCCACCGATCAGTTCCCGCCACAACCGGTGTTCCACACACCCATCGAATTCCCAATGTGACGTGATGAGGAAAAAAATCATGAGAGGAACGCATGGCATAATAAACGATGAAGGGTAGGTGTAGGGCAGAGAGCAGATGAGGCGCGACGAAGCGCAGGGAGCAGCGGCACGGAGCGAGGCGCAGCGGGGATGGGCGGAGCAGCAGATTGCTGCCCGCACACGGGCGGCGGGCCTCCGCACCCCACCCCCGCGGATGGTTTTCTTTGCGCGTTCCACCTTTTTTGCCCGGCTGTGCCGTGTTGGGGAAAGGAAGAGACTGATCGAAGAGGGGAGTAGAAGGCCTCCCTACTCCAATTGCCCAGTGCATGGCAAATGGCCATGGGCTCTACTCCAATTGCCCACTACATGGCCAATGGCCATGGGCTCTCCATAGACAAAAAAACGGCCCGACAGACTATGTCCCCTGTCCTTTTGGCTATCAGTGCAGTGGGGAGGCAACCTGTAACCCCCACTGGGGCACCGCAAACTGGCTACCATTAGGCTCCGGCTAACCCAAAATCTGACTCTGACTGGGTATGTCAATCGTAAGGGTAAGCAGTACTAAGCACCATGGCCTGAACAAGGCTCTACAGCTTCTTAGCGTCAGGCAGACACGTAGCAATTGAGGCTGTCCTCAACTATGTTCGCAGCCTGTCAAGGTTGCCTTTTATGCCCTTTTTTGAGACCCCCAACGTCATTTCAACTTTCAATGCCGGTGGTCGTTCAGGAGGGTGGGCAATTGTGAGGTGAGGGCTTAGCAAGGGGCGGGGCATGCAAAGGATCAATAGCTGCCCGTGGGAGGCCGAGGACGCTGCGGTCCTTGAGTTTTGAACATTTAAAAATTGAAACAGTGTGGGTCCACTTTTCTAGAATAGAAGTGTACTTCGAATAGAACACTTACATGTTGTATTCGAATACCTCTTCTTCAAATTTTGAAAACAAAAACTCCTGTATTCCAATCGAACATTGTCTACCGAGTGGGCACGGGGAATGCAGCCCTAAGGTAGCCAAAGCAATGATACAAAGAGCACGCACAAGAGAGAGAGAGAGAGAGAGAGAGAGAGAGAGAGAGAGAGAGAGAGAGAGAGAGAGAGAGAGAGAGAGAGAGAGAGAGAGAGTGCTATATGGTTGGGGAATCAACGGAAAGGTCGTTTTGAAAATCAGGAAAAATCAATGGAATTCCCCAAATGTCTATTTCGTTGCGCCTTACCTCCTTGTTTTAAAAGGGATCCAATGATACAAAGAGCACGTATAAGCTAGGTAGTCCACATACCTCTTGCAAAACGTCTATTTCGTTGCGCCTTACCTCCCTGTTTTAAAAAGACGGGCCTCAACGCCTGGGCCTAAGGACCCTTTTGCAATTCACATATTCTCATTTTTTTTTCTTTTCTTCATTTCCACCTGTGGAAGGATCCTTCATTTTTCAAAAAGTCCCGGTTTTATAAGAGCTAGTTGCAGGTAGTCCACAATATCTTGAAGGACCAGTCCCCCAAACGTTTTCCCCTCCTAAGAACCCATTTGCGTCGTGGTCGTCCACCGCCCAAAATGCGACACCTTGACACATACGCCGAAGCCCACTACACCGCAGCCTTAGGTCTACGAATTACCTTTTTTTTGGGGGGGGGGAGGTCAGCGTCCGCCCTTGTGTTCCCCGCCATTGACATATTGCATCTCTCTCTCT